CCTCCTCCTCCGTCCCCTTTGCGGCCGCGCGTGCCTGGCTCTGTCTGCGCCTGGCCTCGGGGGAGAGAAGCCATGGCGTACAGCGAAGAGGACGGGGGGGCCGGCAACGGCTCGGTGGAAGAGAAGGAGAACGGCAAGAAGGTGCTTCGGCCTCGCGGCGCCGTGACCACAGCCTGGCTGATCTTCTACAACATCACCATGACGGCCGGGTGAGCGGGGTGCTGCAGGCGGAGCCGGTGGTCGGGGCGAGAACGGAACCTTCCTTCTCCCCGGCCCGAGACGAAAGCCCTCCGTCCCTGAACGTCGGGCCGGGCTGTACCTGCTTGGCACCGGGGCGGGGGGAGAAGGAGGCGGCGGCGGCGGCGACTGGGGGGATAAGCCGTGGCTCGCTGGCATTGCCTAATACGGTGCAAGCTTCCAGCAAGACGAGCACGTCATCCCTCGAGCCCGCCAGGGAGGTTAAGTATAGCCCGAGCCCGGAATGCCGGCCGGGGGTTGTGGAATGGGGCAGACTGCCTCCCTCGGCATAATTTATTGCGGTGGCCGCCGAGGACGCGAGCGCGGTGAGTCGGCGCCCGGTCCCTCCCACCGACTCGAGCCGGCTTCCTTCGGTAGCACCTGCCCGGCCAGATGGCCGCGGTAACCCGAGCCTGGGGTGGCTCAGGGAGCTTTAACCCAAAACCTCCTGGGCGACAAGAGGGTTAGTGGGCGGCTGGGACGTCTTCTCTGATAAGGAGGTCTTGGGCGAGTGCGGGCTTCCTTCCGAAGGAATTTCATTGGAAGTTAGACTCGTTTGGCGCGATGCACCACCTTGTAACTTGGTTGTAACTTGGTTTGGTTTCAGCTTAGCCTGTTGTGTTGCATTAGCTGGGCTTAAAACAAATCATGGCTTAGTGCAGTGGCTCGGTTGACCATCATGGTAAGACATGGTTTGTTTGATCATGGCATATTGAATAAACCATAATTGGCTAAGTGCATACAATACATTACCGACCTGGATTTGTACTTTGAAACCTTCTGAACGCTAAGTTAAGAGATGTTCCTTTCTTCCATAGCAAATTTAAATGACAGGGTACAGTTTACACCAGAAAAGTAGGCAGGTTGATTTCCTTATCAAATACTTTTTGCATGAGCAAATTTTCAGTTTTTCAAATGATTAAAAAGGTTAAAAAAGAACTCCAGGCCCAAAAAGCTCTGAGTTTGAGCAGAGGATCACTTTTTTTCTTTTTTTCATGCTTCGTATTCTTCAAACATAAGTGAATCCAGCCTTGGTGATTTATGGTTATGTCTTATGTACTGTTAACCCCAAAATTGCATGAAGTCACCAGGAGTCTCGCTTGACTCACAGGAGATCTACTTTCTACTGTATATATACTATTTATATTTACGGTTTATAGTAAATATAACAATTCAGCAAACAGTTGTTAAAACAGGCCATAACTTGGTTTATTGTGTGACCCCAGTCTATATCTCAAGTTATGACAAGGTTATGTATAATATTATGTCTTAGGTATACAAGTAATGTTCCCCATGAAAGCTTTAGTTTCAAATCCCGTTTATTGCAATCAACAATAGTAGGCCTAGGTTTGGATATGATATGATCTTCCATTCCTGGTTAATAAGATGCATGGGTGATGAGAGGGTTAAGATTTGTTTTATTTATTTATATGCCCCTTCAATCCAAATCCACCCTGGAGAAGGTTTATCTGTGTAGTTGTCTGTGTAGTAAAGAATCAACATCAACTTGCTGGCACATAGTCAACCATAACCAATCTGAACTGGGCTCTAAGTGGCACCTTATACATTTGTTAAGTTTCTGCCAAGGCTTAATGTGTCATGAAAGCTTTGTAAAGGCAGAGCGAACTTGAAAAATATGGAATGAGATAGCTGACAAACTTTTCTTCCTCATATAGCAATAGTAGTAGAAAACATTTCTCTCCCTGCAGTAGAACCCTTAACCCTTGAACTGTGCTTTGGAGAACAATATGGTGCTTGGACTACAACTCCCACCATCCCTTTGACTAGGCAGATTGCTTTAAAGAGACTTGCGGTTATCAATTTTTGCTTGCGTATCTTCCTTTATTTTGCTTCCTGGTAGATACAGTCTAGAATTTTGGAACTTTAATTGAAGAATGCTCTGTGTAAAAAAAAAAAAAAAAAAGCCCTCCTAATTTGCTGCATATTAGTGTACCTGTCTAGCAAGGATCTAGTTTATCTTAAAGCAACAGTTTACTTCAGAAATCTGGATGGTGGCTTCCTTTACATTTTTGTGGTGGGCAGTTAAAACACAGCTCTTCTGTAAAGCTATTGACTGTTGAAAAATATAAAAGTCACTCTTGATACCTGCTTTTGTGATTTTTTATGATTTTATGGATTTCGTGTAGCTGTAAATCACCAGAAGTTAGCAGTACAAAAATATGTAAATAAAATAAAAGAAACTTATTTGGATCATGAACAGCAGATAAGATTAGAGAAAGGTTAGAGACATATTGTTGCATTTATTTAGGAAAAGGCCTTGCTGCAGAGTGAATTTCTTTGATCTCCTCCATTTTGCATGTCCTTTTCAGCACTTTGGAATTTCTGTGTAAAAACACTTTCAGTTAGTTATAAATACAAAACCCAAATAAATGCCAGTGCCTAAGAGATGTGATTTCATACATAACTGGCATGGAACAATATAAAAATATTGAACTAAATAAATGAATTAACCATTTGTTATTCCATTAAGGATATTGTTTTTTCTGCTTAGGTGGCTGGTACTAGCTATTGCCATGGCCCGGTTCTATATGGACAAAGGAACATACAAAGGATTATATAAAAGCATTCAAAAGACACTTAAATTTTTCCAAACTTTTGCTTTGCTTGAGGTAAGTTTTTAATTAATATACCTTATTTGGAAGGAGAATGTGAGTCTGGAGAGAAAATAGTTTACAGCCTAAACTAATTGTTGCTGGAGACTGTTGGGCCATTGGTGATGTCAGAATGTACTTACACATTTGTAGTGTCAACTGTAGCTTTGAGGGTGCCCTTGGCAAATTGTTCTGTGACACCTTGTTTTTCTGGCACCAGTTAGGACAAAAAGGAGTTGGAGCCAGAGTTGATAGTTTCCAGAATCCATTTCCCAGAATGCCTCTGTGGGATATTGTGGGAAATTAAAAAGATGGTTTCCAGACCCTTTTTTTAATGAGAAGTCCTGGAAGTTGCCAGAGGATATCAAAGGTGCATTGTAGAGTTGTTTGTATGAACTAATGCCTCCAGATGAGAGTTGTACTTGCCTGTCACTGATATAATATGTGTGACTATAACAGTTTTTTGTGAGATGTCAAGATCAAACATATTACAGGTTGTCCTTGCTTAATAACTACAATAGGGACTGGAAAATTGGTCATTAAGCAGGGTGGTCATTAAGCGAGTCACTGTGTGACCAGACCCAATTTTATGACCATTTTTACAATGGTGGTTAAACTAATCACATGATCGTTAAGTAAATCCAGCTACCCAATAGATGTTTTTTGCCAGAATTTGCTTAACGACTGTAGTGATTTGCTTAATGACTGTCATAAAAAGGTCACAAATTGTGATCACGTGACTGCGGGGGGTGCAATAGTTTACGACGGTTGTAAGTGCAAGTACAGGTTGTAAAGCACTTTTCCTAAGGCCTTTGTGACTTCAAACCATCATTAAACTAACAGTTAAGCAAGACCTGCCTCTGTAATTCACAGACATCCCATGTAGAAGTGCTATGACAGCACTTCAGCCTACAGGCTTTAATGCTGCAAACTGGTAGTAATTCTGTGTGCTCATTTGGAACTTGTCTAGGTGACTGCCATGTAATCTAAATTCGTTCATGAATATATTTTGTGATATATCTGAAAATTATTCAGGAATTCCTGAAGGATCAGGAAGATCTGAATTGTTGGGCTTCTGTATTTCCAGATACCCAGCCTTCTAGTTTTTGTGCTGTTCTTTCTATCCATTACGATGTAGCCCCCTGTCAGTCAGTCTCTGAGCTGTGGTGGTTTAATGTCTGTTTCTGATGTTTTTTAAAAAAGTTCCTCAATACTGAGTATACCTTTAATCCATACACATGTATTTGCAGTAGTATGAGAACAGTGTTCCTGTGCTGCGATAACCTGAGAATTTATATTTGTAGTCATACATGCCCAATCATTGATTGGATGGGAGTAAAGTACATCACACATTAATACTTACAGTGTAGTGGTTAAGAACTATGGAAATGAAGTTTAAGTCCCAACTCAAACATGGAGCTCATTGAGTGACTTTCTCTTAGCTCAAATTCCTTCATGGGGTTGCTGCTATGGAGATAAACCTAGGGGAATCCCCCAACCGAGTTACCTTGAGAGAAAAGGCAGAATAAACATTTAATAAATAAATTGACTTCTCCACAATAAAGAACTCTAATCCTAACCGTAATTCTTTAAATTTCAGGTTTGCTCTAGTCCCTTAAGCCTCTTAGAATTTGGGTACTAGAGAAGCTTGGGACATCATATAAACCAATCTCCTGTAGCCTGTATTCGAAGCTCTGTTTGCAGAATCTCCTAGCTGTCCAAGGTGGACTTTACTTTAAGGCATGAATAGGCAGCATGCGGCCATCCAGATTTTTTGGAATTCTTCCCGTCAGCCATAGCCATCACGGCCATCAATGAGGATTGGTGGGATCTGTTGACAGCATCATTCATTCTACTTTAGGATATGTTCCCTTATGTATCTTGCAGCCATAACATTTTCCCAATTTTTCTATTTTTATTAAGATTTATTTTCATGTTTTTTTCAAGCTCTGAGACTACAGAATTCTGCGGACCGCAGGATTGGTTGATTAGATATGATATGGCTAGTGCCATATACTCATTTGCTTACTTTTTCGACTTGTAATCATGCTTCTCTTTCCTAGGGCATTAAAGGCAGTTAATAGAGAAAGTGCATACACAATAATATATTGACATGCATTGGGGATGCATGTCAGTCATATAACTGTGAAAGAGTGAGAAAGAGAGGGAGAAAAAGAGAAATAAATTAGTAGATAAATGACACTATTTTACACCAGATAGCACAGGTAGTAAGCACTGTGCCAACAAGTAAGGCTATGTTATTTTATCCACTTACTGCTTATATAATTGAGGGACATCACAGTTCACCTTTTCCCATCCAGTTGTATTGCATTACAGTTCTCTAACTTGGCACCTTCAAATCATAAGGAAGGTGTCAGGTTGGGGGAAACTGCCATAACCAATAATCCTCTGTATAATCTAAATTTGATGCGTTTTAGCTGGGACAAGGAAAGGATGGCCTGCTATTTTACCTTTCCTTTTCATTATTAATGCTGGTTTTTATTACTGTTCCTAAAGTTGTATTAGGCAACCAGTCTAGTCTCTCTTTCTTGTCAGAATCATACTCCAAAATTGGCAAGTGAGCATCCTTTTTCTCCATGGTTGCTGTGTATCTTGTGTAAGTTGAATTTTCCATATTAAAACTCATCCTTGATACAAGATCCATGTACAAGTTAAAAGAATTATTTCCATTTTTATGTGTGTATATATCTTCAAACTTAAGAATAGGCATTGGAGGGTTTGTGTTTTTGAAGTTCATGAAAAACATGTATGAAAAGAATGCAACTAAGCAGAGATTTTCCAGCCATAGGTCAATTCTGAATACTCACATTTTAATTCCCCCTGTCTACCCCTCCTTTCAATTTTACAGATACTCCACTGTGCTGTTGGTGAGTCTCTTTTCAGTTCCTCAGTTAAGTAAGCCCAATCTTACTCTATTGGACAACGGTGACCTATTTCTCTTTTTAAGGAGTAGTGCACACTTCTGTGCTTGTGACGGGGGTCCAAGTGAGTTCAAGAATCTTCATGGTGTGGTTTGTTACACATAGTATAAAACAGGTAAGTGTCAGAGTAAACATTGGATTGTCCAGTTCATAATATCCTGGTACCACAGAAACAGTAGGCATTTAGAGGTACATTGCATTTTTTTAAATATAAGGTAGCATAGACCCATCGTCGATGGTCTTAAGTGTGGCTTAAATTAAGAATGACTGTAACTGTGCACAAGCCTGCAAGGTGAACTTTAAAAGTCCCTAATTACATATGGGTGAAGAGGTTGTAAAGGCTGTTGTAGCTGGATATATGACCTTTATGTTTTGTCATTCCAATAGTAAAGTCTTCCATGTTAAAAATAACCAAGAAAAAGTATCCATTCTTGCAATGAATATTATAAAGTGGAATTGGACAAAGATATTTGGGTTTGAGGAGAAACGTGCAGCTTTAGGCAACTGAGTTTTTGGATATATCCTAAGAGGAATTGGTATGCCTTGAGTAGTATTTCTATGCTTTTGACTTGCTGGAAAATAGAAGTAAACGGAAGAATGGAACCTAATCCTACCTGTGTCCCATTGAGTTCAGTTGTATTTGCTCCCATATTAGAGCTTGTAGCTTCCTTCTGTTTTGCTATACTACAAGAGGATTCTTGTCAGTTCATGGTATAGTTATTAATCCAGTCAGTTAATGTATTGGATCAAGACTGTAATTCTCCTCAGCTGAAGAAATTCTCTTTAGGTGGACATTGACATGGCAGTCTTAAATGTATTCACTGGAAGATAATTTCTTATTGCACAAATGGGGCAAAAAATCTGACTTGCATTATACCACTTTGGTTGGACGGTGCCCAGATTTCACTGTAGTAATGTAAAAAGTGCTTTATTCTGTCTCATAACCTATTGGATCAATTCTTGTATGTATGTATTAAATTTGTATGCTGCCCATTTCCCCCAACGGGTGACTCTGGGCGGCTCACAATGAAAACCAAAGACCCAAGAACCATTAAAAAATGATACCATATAAATAGTTAAAATTAATTTATTAAAATCGGAGTATAAAAACAACCCTATACCTAAATACTAAAAAAAAAAACCTGAGGGACTGTTATTAATTTGATTGTGTTTACTGTGTGAATGCATCTTAGATTTAGACTTTTGGTCACATAAGGCTGGTTTGTTTTTTGTATACTCGGGTGCATTTTTAAATGGTTGAGTCTCTCACCAGCAGATGGCACTTGGTGATTTCCTTTCGTGGGAGAATAAATAGGAATGGCCTCTTCCCTTTGATTAAAACTCCTATGTTTTTTCTCTTCCACCTCCTCCTATGCTATTTGAAATTTTTAAAAAAAGATTACTTTTTTATTAGACTACATAATTAAACATGATTTATATTTAAATACTTTTTCAGCATCAATAGAAGTTATTGCATAGTTTCTAAGATATTGATCATGTTAGGTTTATATTTTCCAGAAAGAAGAATAGAAAACACATTGATTCCAGGAGCCTAGTAGAGTCAGTATAAGAAGAAAACAAATAGGGAACAGTAAAAGGCTATCCAACAGGAAAAAAAATCTAAAAATAATTGTAGGATGATACTGTTATTAACAACAACAAAAAGGCTATGAAACTTTGGGATTTATAATGCATAGAATTAAATTATGCTATGCCAGATACAGAACAAGAGTTCACGCTTCAAAAGAGTAATTGCTTTGAAAGAACAAATACTGGTAATTATTTAACAATCCCATGCTAATTCTTCTCTAGCAATAATCAGGATACAGTACACAAATCCTTTTCAAGGTAGCAAGTAGAAGTTGTTTTTCTCCACAAGTATCTATCTATTGCCATGTAGGTCAAAAAGCAGCAAAGAGATCATGTTGAAGTGAAAGGAAAAGTATTTAACACATTCTGCCCACCTGCAGTTCATTGCAATTCCAATCAAATTCTCAGTCCTTCGCACTATGTAGAATTCCAGCTACATTGCCATGCTGGTTACGTATCTTGCCTGCATGTGATACGTGCTTCATCTTTTTTTAAAAAAAATATTCTATTCTGTTATTTTAAAATACAAGTAGTACCTTATATAATTTGGGTACAGTATTTACATAACTTTGACTCGAGATTATTAACACTCTGATGATTTAGATAACTTATGTCAATATTAACTGTATTTTCTAAAATGTTAATGTTGATAAGCATAAGGTTGCTTAAATTTTACATCTAGAGCTGAGTGTAGCATTGATTTTTTTTTTTTTAATCCATTCAATCGTGTCTGATTCTCAGTGACGCCTGGACAATTCCCTGCAGTTTTCTCGGCAAGGTTTTTCAGAAGTGATTTGCCATTGCCTCCTTCCTAGGGCTGAGAGAAAGTGACTGGCCCAAGGTCACCCAGCTGGTTTTGTGCCTAGGCAGGGCTAGAACTCACGGTCTCCCGGTTTCTAGCCTGATGCCTTTAACCACAGCACCAAACTGGCTCTCGTAGCATTCATACAGAACTGCAAAAGGTTAAATTAATTTGTTCTTGTATAATAAAGGTTTCTATCTTAAGCTTAATACTTAATACTAAGGTCTTCATTGTATTGTTACTGTTGTTTATCCATATTAGAAAGAAAAAAGTTAAAAAGCTATTTGGTTTTTACCTTCCCCCTTCTTTATGCCTTAACCAATTTCCAGCATTTATAAGCATTTAACCCCCCCCCCAAGAAACCATACTACATTTATATTTGCTTTGCTGCATATAACAACTTTTGTACAGAAGTAAAAAAAAATAGTATTCCTATTCCTTGAATACTTCTGTAGAAAAAAAATTGAATGCATTTATTCATGACAAAATTGATATTCTTAAGTCTAATATGCAGTTTTTGGATCAGTCATTGTGGTGCATTTAGCTGAAAGCATCCAAGGTCCTCTTTTCTCTCCTAACAACAACAACAAACCCTGTATTGCTTTACTTTATTTCATAGACACCTTTGGAATGTGCATTAGTCTTTGGGAAGATCTGTTATAAAATTCTTCCCATTTTAATGAAAGTAAAATTACTTGTCTGCAACGATTCTCAGTAATCAATAGATCTCTATCTACCTTACTTTGTAGAGCTGGAATTAATTTAATCTGCAAGAGATGCCGATGTCATAAAAGAATGGCTAGATCGATACAAGCTGTTGAGGCAGTGTAATGACTTAGGGCTATTTTCCCTCACCCAAAGAACAGCAGAAAAGTTTATCATTGTAGCAGTGTTAATATTTGTATTTTGAAAAGAGTGTGCACGAATTCTTAATTTGTACGTTTCATCTCTTTGTGGTTCAAGCGTGTTCTGCCAAAGAATCCCTCAGACCTGAGCTAGTACAGAAGGGGACCAATGGTGAATGTAATATAAATTGAAAAAAGCTCTGATTTAGAAGTTGTGGATAAGTTCAGAGAGAGAACACGCAAGTCCATTTGAAAGCAGCACCTGTGATGGACTGGAATGGTGGGAGGGGAGTAAAGAATGCGCTCTCATCTCCAGAGGAGTGAGGAAGAGATAAGCGGAGGAGATTGGCACCTCCCTGAGAAATCCCATCAGTGTGAACTGACTGAGCCTGGGAACTGGGCTTGAGTCTGGGAAGATTGATGTCAGGCCTAGCCCAAGGAAATCCAGGATACCATACAGAAATTATCCAGCAGGGTTTATTAGCTACAACCCATTTACAAGAATCTTCCCAGACTGAAGCCCAGTTCCCAGGCTCAGTCAGTTCACACCGATGGGATTTCTCAGGGAGGTGCCAATCTCCCCTGCTTATCGAAATTATCCAGCAGGGTTTATTAGCTACAACCCATTTACAAGAATCTTCCCAGACTGAAGCCCAGTTCCCAGGCTCAGTCAGTTCACACCGATGGGATTTCTCAGGGAGGTGCCAATCTCCTCTGCTTATCTCTTCCTCACTCCTCTGGAGATGAGAGCGCATTCTTTACTCCCCTCCCACCATTCCAGTCCATCACAGCACCTCTGTTGAAAAAATTATTTTGCCAGCTGTCTAAATAGTGTCACTTGCATTCCTACCTATACTTACCACAAAATTCTAAGGAAGTTGCTTCTGAGAAAATATGTATAGTAGTTTTCCTTAACCTACTGCGTTAGGATTTCAACATCCGCAATTCCCCACCTAGCTTGGGCATGTTTGACTGGAGATTCCGAGTGTTGGAATTCCATTCCATCTTGAGAGCCCCAGGTTGGGGAAAGCTGATGCAGAAGGTAGTGTTCATGGGACCAAATAGAAACAATATAGACAATATCTTAAAAATGATGTTAGAAACAGAAAAGTATGGTTAGTTTTGAATAAGAAAAATGGTATATATTAATTCTCTGCTTCTACATCTTTTTCTGTTCAATAGCAACCTGTACACTTAGAGTAAAAATATGACAGCACCTATATTCATCCTAAACAATATTGGCTTTGGTGAATTATCTGAGAGTCTGTCGCAGTTCTAAGGATCCAAGCAAACTTTGGTTCTTTATCCTTCCACAGATCCAGAATGAGGAGAGTGTTATTCTTTTTCTGGTTGTATGGACTGTGACTGAGATTACTCGATATTCCTTCTACACATTCAATATGCTCAACCATTTGCCATACTTCATAAAATGGGCCAGGTGGAGAATGCCTTGCAGTTTAGTTTCTCATTGTTCTGGGCATGCCCTTTCATGCATGCTTCATCAGCAAGGAAGAAATTTGTTTTGAGAGCTTTTCACATATATGCTTAAAATGATTTGATGCGCTTTAAAAACACTGTATTTAAGTTCTTAGAGTTGGATTTGTTTTAAAAGCAGCGTTCTCTAACGTTTCCTTAACTTTCCCTTTGCTTATGCCATTAATGTTTCTAGAGAGTGTTTGTGTGTCTTTTGAAAACTGTATATTGAATTCAAATTGTTTATTTCCTGCTTCTTTTAAGCTGATCAGTGTAGCATTTTAAGGTTTCCTATATTTTTGTGTACTGCAATGCAAAACATTGCTTAATATAAAATCTGTAAGAGGCTTTCTGTTATGCCATTTTAGGGCATTATTTTGCTGGATTTAAATTTAAATAATAGAAGATAAAGTAATAGAAATATGTGGGGTACAGTTTCTGGGAAGGCAGGTCATATCTTAACTAGAAAATTAAAAAGTGATTTGTTGGCGAACTTAAATTTCAAATATTCTATTCATATCCAACGTGAGATGTACTCCCAGGTAAGCATGCATAGATTTTCTGCTTTAGTAGCCAGTTGTTGCAGCTATGCTACTTTCCACTGAGTATGTGGATTGAAACTGAGACTCTGGACATCATGGTACTGATGGACATATCTATTACCATATGTTACTTTTTATATCCATCCAGTAAAAGTGTTCTTTACTTTGGAGATCCAATCATAATAGTATATTTTCCAAGGCCTACACAATTAATGTTTGGGGCATTTTTTTTTCTTCTCAAGGTAGATCTAGTTTTTATTTTAACTATAAAATTAATTGAATTTCATTAAGAGCTTCAGAGCTGAATGGAGAGCTGAACTTGGGTCTCTTCAGCAAGATCAGATCATTTTCAACCAAGGTGTCCTAGGTGTTAAGCTAAATGTTAAGATTGTTGTATATCATTGCAATACCACGTAAATGTGCAGTAATTAGCAATAAATTATAAGCAATGCTAAGTAAAGAATGCCAGTAAATTATCAATTTAAATTTTTAAACATTTGAATGGAGCAAAAAGAGTAAAAAGAACCTACTGGTGGTACTGTTTGCTGGAATGTAATATTTTTTTCACAAATGTCCTTCGTTATAAAAATAAACTAAACATTGTTCAGCTGGGATGTTCCTTTTGATTATAAAGAATTTAATTTATAAACCTGATTTACAAGATTGCATAATTGTAAAGGCTAAAACAATTTTCATATTACTTTTCAGAAGAAGATAACATACAACAGCAACAAAGTAGTTCATTAATAAAAAAAGAAAGCAAATTGATTCAAATTGGTTGAAACCTAAGAAAATGCATGTTGACAGTAGAAGTTATCTATTATCTAGCACAGTCTTATTAACTCTCAAATCCTGGGATTGAGCTCTTTTGAATGTAAAACAAAAGTTCTACAAGTTGTCTGAATATCGCAGAACAAAGTAGACAACTATAATCTAAAATAGGATTGCAAAAATCCATATGACAATTAGATTGCAGTCATTTTTTTCTGACCTGAAAATGGTAGCCCTAATCTAAGCATTTCCACTGTGTCTTTTTCTAAGCGAGTGCTCAAAATTCAAAGGACTTTTTGGTTCAGTGCATTTAAAATGTTATTGTGATAATAAACATTATGCTGAAGTTCTTTGCAGTGATTTGAGCTCTCAAATTTTGGTTTTGCAATTAAAAAAACTTTGTGTATATATAGTTTCAGCCTACACTTCGTTGATTTGCAGTTGTTATAATTAAAATTGCATTAATCAGCTTCTCTTTCAAGGAAATATTTTGGGCTTCTTGTTGAATCCCATTCATTCCATTCCAGCTGAACTTTATATTCTCTTAAGTCTATCAAATCTTAATGAAGGTTTCAGGTTCTGGGGTTGCTGTTTTAAATCTTAACTATTTTGGTCATGGAATGTCCTTTGTGCAGTTTTTGCTAACTGTCTCCTTGCTTTTCGCAGCATGTGCTGAAGAGAGCTTTTATTTATTTATTTTTTTTAATGAAGACTGCATTTGCATGCTTTATCTTGCATGAAAACTCTTCAGATATTTCCATATCCTTTTAAAGGATTTCAGTGTGTGACTTGACAACCAATAAATAAGGCAGGGCTTTTCAAAGCAGTTGGAGTATTTCATTTTTAGAAATTCATCCTGGCATTTCCCAAGATGTTATTCCTTCAGTAGTGAGCTTTTATCCATATAACATCAATAGTTGCCTATAAGAAATAGCTGTGGGGATGGCTTGGCTACAGTTTCCTTAGTTCGTTTTTAAAACATTCAACCTAGCATTTTTATTGCCATCCTAAACTATTAGAGAAAATCCTCCAAGCTTCCTCAAGGTCTAAAGCTTGAATTTCTATGTTTGATGACAAATAGAGAAAATATAATTTATATATTAACTTATAAGTATCGCTATAATCTAAGGCAGTGTTTCTCAACCTTGGCAGCTTGAAGATGTGTGGACTTCAACTCATCACATCTTCAAGCTGCCAAGGTTGAGAAACAGTGATCTGAGGCCTCATGTTCTTATGGGAAAACAAGATGGAGAAGGAAAAAAACCCCTAATAAACTAAAATATTTATAAGCAAATAAGGAATAAACATAGTAGCAATAACATTTTAGGTTATGAATAGCAATCTTTAAAATCTTTTTATCATAAAAAGTTTTCTACTTGTTATAAAGATTCAGCAGATCCCCTTATAGAGGCATTCCACATTAAAAAGTCTGCTTCTGAGTAGACAGCCAGTACATTACATTATGCAGGTACATTTCAAGTAGGCAGGGTTGTCTGTAAGGGGGGGAATCAAGATGGCAGCCACAGCTGTGTGATTGAAGCCCTGTCTTTTTATGTCCATGCACATGAAAGGATGGGGCTTTATTTGATTGTCACAAAACCTTCCCCACTGGCATCCGTGTGAGTATGTTTTCAGACAGGCCTTCCAAATAACAAGAATACCTGAAAAAGGTACTCGGGTGTTCCATTGGTCCTTGACAACTGTTTCAGCCAACAGTTATGAATGTTAATTTTACAAAATAAATCTTACGTGTATTCAATTCTGCTGGCTCACCCACCAGAACATATACATATTTTAAAGCAGTGTGAAGAACACTTATGTTGGACACAAACATATTTTTCACATGGCAAACCATCCTACATAGAAATTATTTCAGATAAGTGTGCATAGACTTACCACTGACTATTTCTTTACTATTTGTTCTGTTATGGCAAAACAGAAGACAAGGTATACAGAAAATAATTGCTGGAGCAAATTATTTGTGCTTTCTTCCAGGTACAATTTTTTCATCATCCTATATCCAGTAGGAGTTGTTGGTGAGCTGCTAACAATTTATGCAGCATTACCCTATGTGAAGAGATCAGGCATGTTTTCAGTGAGACTTCCTAACAAATATAATGTCTCTTTTGACTACTACTATTTTCTGCTCATCGTCATGGCCTCTTACATACCATGTAAGTATCAATGGATGTACGTAGAAATAATCATTTTTTTAGTTGTATAGTGCTAGTTCTTAAGAAAGCTAAAAACATTATACTTATTTGAGATAGACTATAGTTTAATGATAAAACATGGGCCTTGGATGAAGCTCTTAGGTGTGATATATAGAATTAAAAAGGATTTAGAGTAGCCTGGAAAAACTTTTTAATGAGCCGAAGATCATGAAGAGCTACTGTTCACTAGATAGACAATACTGCATTAGATGGACCAGTGGTGTATTTCAGGTGTTCCAGATGTATTGGATCTGCAAAACCTAGAATTCCTTCCCAGCATATATTAGGATCATTATTAAGTTATTAAGTCTTCCCAGATGCTCAGAGTAATATATTGATAGCTACTATCCAGGTTTATTCATTAGATTATTAATGAATATATTATTTCAATTAATATTTTGAAACAGTAATAACAGCCTTATCAAAGACGAATCCATAATAAGCTAAAAGCAATTCTTGGACTTTCAGATATGGATCATTCAAGCCAATTTACTAATTCCAAGATTCAGTCCCATATTCTACCAATTTAGTGTGCTGCAGTTTCATTGCACATTTACTTTATTTTCAACATAGTTTAACTTTTTTTGTTTTTTGCTTTTTCAGTGTTTCCACAACTGTATTTTCATATGCTACGTCAAAGAAGGAAAGTACTTCATGGTGAAGTGATTGTGGAAAAGGACGATTAAAACAAACTGTAATCATGGTGCTTTTTCAGAGTAACAAACCAGATCCTTCACATGTTACCCAAGCCCAACTTGGAAATTTTGGGACAAAACAACAATGCACAAAACCAACATAGATCGTGATATTTTGTAACAGATGTCCTCCCAAGGGCTTATATGAAATTTTAGTCTTATTTTTCAAGCTGTTTAAGATGCTTTTGGTCACAAATCTTGGCAGCAGTTGAGTAAGATTGGAATTCGTTATTCAGAAATTCCAATTCATCATTTTAAATACTTTATTACTGAACTGTGATTATTGCACTAGCCTATCTGGCTAAGCTGTACTTAGGAGATGCAAGTCCTGATTGTGTTCGCAAAGTCTTTTTACCTGTACTTGAAGGTAAAGCCACCTTGAGTCAAAGTCAACGGCTAGTGACTACCTAGAACAATGCTATGTAATTTTCTTGGCGATAGTACAGAAACAGCTTGCCATTGCCTTCCTCTGGATGTTTTTAATTCCCCAGGCTGGGCTACAACCCTGTTGCTTTTCTTGGTGATCACCCATTCACATGCTAACTGGGTCTAACCCTGCTTAGATTTGAGCTTGGCCAGAAGTTGCCACCTACCGACTGGCATTTGGAAGTAGATAAATGCTTGTGCCTCCTGCTTTATAAGATGCTGCCCAAGAAGGCCCCTGAGTAATGAAAATGCTTCTCTTTTCTTTGTTAATAACATTTGGAATTCACACATTTTCTTTTCACATTTAAGAGGGGTTTTTTTTACCAATCCTAAACTTACATTCTTTAGAATTATTTGCATTGAATTTGAATGATTTTTAAAAGCATCTCCCTGAAATAATTACAACAGTGGAAATAATAGAAAATGGGTTCAGTCTTAATATAGAATAATTCAAAACTGGAAGCAGTTAACCAGGAGATAACTGCAATATCTCTTTGCAAATCCAAGCCTACTAGACTCTAGAATAATTTTTAAAAGGAACATTTAAGTACTCTGGATAATCTTAAAACAGCTGTCCAAAAAGCATTTCTGTAACAAAAAGATTGTGGATACAAAAATGTATGAAAATCTTATCACCCACTAGTTATATAATGAAAGTTCAAGGTAAACTCTGTTAATTTTTGGTTTAATTCATCATGTTTAGTGGCTCTTATTTATTTTAATCCTTCTGATTAAAACTTGCAGAGCAAAATCCAAAGGAGTAGGTGACTAGTAGGGCTGGATAATACTTTGGCTTCGATTCCAGAAAAGTACCTTAGAGCACGTGGGAGTATTGACTGCAGCATCCGTCGGCAACTCTTTTAAAGCGGCCATTTCTTTCCCGGCATCTTGTTGCAGATGCAGAGGGCACCCATGCAATCCTAGGACCAGATGTGCCTTTTAAAGAGTTGCAAACAAGTGCCACGTTCACACCCCCATGTGTCTCAGAATCTACTTTTCAGAATTATTTCCAAAGCTCTATACTGCCCTCACAAGTAGTTCCATATGTTCAGGGAGTGTTAGGATTTGTCTTTTGCAGGAAAAAAAAGTTTACTTGGTAAAATAGAAAAGAGATTAAAAATCTGACAGTCTTCTGTTCAAAGTTGCTGATGGGAAATAAAAATGTTAAGCTTCTCCTCTAAAATAATGTGATGTAGGCTATGTTGCTCTTTGAATTCTTGTCATTATCACTTTGAATAAAATTGTAAGCTTTGAAAAAGGAAGTATTGGAAGAAGCAATGTCTGTAACCTCAGATCAGTCTGAAATCTGACTCCAGAGATTTTCAAAGCAGAGATAGGCAGCTTTTTGGCAGCCAAAAGCCGCACTTCTTAAAAAAATATTTTTCCGGTAGTGGAGAATTGCAAAGAGTGGATAGTAAGAGGATGACAACACCAGAGAGGGCACAGCTGATAATATTTTGCCTATTCATTATTTTGGGGAGGGGGTGTTGAGAGTTCCTAATCAGAACCATAACCTTTTTATTTTCAGAACAAATTTCTGTTGTCATTGTGCCTCTGGACTTCAACATTGTGATCTGCAGAGCTCTATGGGCTGTGACAGAGGGGTGGGGGTGCCGTATCCATTTGGGGTTCATGGAATTAGGGACCTTTGCTCCACAACATCTGGACTGTAGAATTTATAGTGGCAGTTGTTGGTTTGGTGGTCTTTGCATGAATAGAAGTGCTCTTTTTGCTTGCCCAGGACAAGTGTTAACTCTAAGCGATGGGCTTAACTCTTTGGGTCAAATCCTGATTTTTTTTTCACAGTTAAGATACTCTATTTAATTGGAGTTTCTTTGTATTATTCTACAATAATATGATGAAAGGTGCTCTGTTTATTTCATGTTAGAGAAAGCTTTAAGATACAGTACCATAAAGTCATTCGGTCATGCTTGTATTTAAAGGTTTCAAGAGGAATCAATTCTATCTTTGCAATAATTGCTTACAGTATGTCTTCTTTTAACAATTTCATCTGTTTCGTACAAAATATCCAGGCAGCTCTTTGAAACAGGTTTCTGAATTAGTACAGAGAAGAGCAATATTAAAAAAGCAGTTGTTTGTTAATGGCCGGTATCTTTACTTTCTTCAATGTTTTAAACTTTAATTACAAATATATTCTTCATGCTGTAATTCTTTTTGGTGTAACTTGGAATTGCTCCATCTGTTTTTTGGGTATAAATATTTGGTTCTCATGTATGCTGTCATTAAACTTGGGGATGTTGTCATTCAGTAAACAAAGAACTATTGTAAGGGGTTTTTTTTTTTAATCATTTTGTACATCCCATTAAATAATACCTATTTTGATCTCAACACATACCTGATATGTATTTCTGGGCATAATTTAAGAACAAAAATATTTTACTCTGGAAAATGCATTTCCAATAAACTATTAAATCCATATCCCTGAGTTTTAATGATTCTGCTCTTTCCAGTTCCTAGAAGCACAGTGCATTGGGTTGTGGTCTTCTTACTTATTTTGTGGGACTAAAACTTAGTGTTGATCAATAGAAGAGAATATCTGTAGCTCAGGGTTGAATTGTGGAGTCCTTGGGGTTCGCTGAGCTTGGTGGTTTTCTTGCAAACTTTTTTACCTGTCTAGGTAACATCTTCAGTGCTGGAAGGGAGTGGGGTTTGCTCTCTGTTTATATATAGTAGGTATATACAGTAGTAGTAAAGACCCAGTAACCCAAGAAGGAAAAACATGAGTCATCTACAACATACAGTGTAAGGACTGTAACAGCCACTATGTAGGACAAACTGGCAGACTAGCAGAGCGCATCCATGAATATCAACTAGCAGTCAGAAGACACGATGAAAACTTAATCTCACAACACATGGACAGACTTAACCATAATTTCAACTGGGAAACTGTCAGCATCTTAGACCAAGCTAAGTCCAAAAACATGAGGGAATTCCTGGAAGCTTGGCATGCAGAGAAATCGGCCATTCGAGAGAAACAATGTTTACACACTATTCAAAGGAAACAATAAAAAGGAATCAAAAAGACCAGAACACCGCGCCAGCAATCAGCACCCAGATTAATGGTGATTAACACTAGTAAAATCCTAATCAAAGAACTACCAAGGAGAAAACCACACCCTCACCAACACTGACAGGGCAAGGTTTTGTATATAAACAGAGCAAACCCCACTCCCTTCTAGCACTGAAGATGTTACCTAGACAGATAACAAAATGTTTGAAAGAAAACAACCAAGCTCAGAGACCCCCAAGGACTCCACACTTAGTATTGAGTCATGCATAACAGTAAGCAATACAGGTTGGGTTCACTTACCGTGCTAAGCTGAAAATGGGATTCAGCCCACCATAAACCAGCCACAGTCAAAGGATAGACTGATAGTTGAATAGAGCAGTGTTTCTGAACCTCAGCAACTTTAAGATGTATGGACTTCAACTCCCAGAATTCCCCAGCATGGTACTGGGGAATTCTGGGAGTTGAAGTCC